GTGAGCTAGTCAGAACCTTGCCCACTCGGTCTCATCTTCCCACTCAAGGACTAGGCCAAGACCATGCTGCTCCAGCTCTGGACTGGCCCTGTGAGCTGGCTACAACTGGTCCACCCAGCTGCCATCTCCACAGTCACATTCCTAGCTGTGACTGTCTGCCTCACACACCAGAGAAGCCTGGAATAACCCCTGTCCCTCCAATAAAAAAATCAAAAGTGAGAATCGGAAGTACAGACCAACTGACTACCCATGCTTGATCAGAAATCAATGAAGCATGGGGGCTGGAGAGATGGCTCAGTGGTTAAGAACTCTGACAGAGGACTCAGGTTGGGTTCCCAGCACCCACATAGCAGCTAACAACCATCCCTAACTCCAGTTCCAGGGGATCCAATGCCCTCTTCTTATCTTTGCAGGAATGACACAACCTGGGTGTGCTTACATAATGCATGCAGGCAATATACTCATATACATAAAGTAAAATAAATAAACATTTTTTTTCAAAAAAGAAATCAGTCAAGCTGGACAAGAATAAAACCAGAACCAAATTTTCACTCAATAAAGCAGGCTGGCATTTCATATCATACACACAACCAACAAAAGAAGTCCATCTGCCTGGGTCACATATAAAGAACACAAATAATATGAAAAACCAAGATAATATGTTCCCATCAAAACCCACCAGTCCTACAGAAGTGTTCTATAATGAAAGCCACACAGAGGAACCCCAGGACACAGAACTTAAAAGAATAATCATAAGCATTATCAAAGAATTCAGGGACTTTAAAGAACACACAACACCTCAAGGAACTCAAAGAGAATAGGAATAAACTCCTGACTGAAGCTCAAGAAAGTACAAATATATAATAGAATGAAATGACAAAGACAATTCAGGATTTGAAAAGTGAATCCACAAAAGAGATAGAAATATTGAGGAAAACTCAAGTTGAGATGAAGAGGGAATTGAAAAACTCAATGAACTCACTTGAAAAGATAGGGGAAAGTCCTTACTGCAGAATGAATCAAATGGAAAACAGAGTAACAAGACTTAAAGTTGGAGAATTAGATCACTCAAGCAAAGAATATGAAAAACATTTTAAAACACAAGAATAGAATATGCAGGAACCATTGGATATTATGAAAACACTGAATCTATGAATTATAGGCATAGAAGAAGGAGAAGAATCTCAGGTCAATGACACAGACCACATCTTTAACAGGATTGTAGAAGAAAACATCCCTTGATTAGGGAATGATATGCCCACACAGATACAAGAAGCACACAGAACAACAAATAGATAGGACCAGAAAAGAAAATTCCTATGGCCATATCACAGTAAAAACACTAAACTTAGAGAACAAAGAGAGGGTACTAAAAACTGCAAAAGAAAAACAACCAGTTACATATAAAGGAAAACCCATCAGAATAACAACTGACTTTTCAATACAAACTTAAAAAGAGTCAGGAGCAATTCACTCTAAGTTCTGAATGACCACAGAGGCCAACTCAGACTTCTTTACTCAGCAAAATTGTTTATCATAGCCAAAGGAGAGAGAAAAATCTTCCATGATATAAATAGCCGAAAGAATTCATGTCCATCATATCTGCCCCACAGTAAATACTTGAAGCAATATAACAGGCTAAAGAAAGATATACCCATACCCAAGAGGCTACAGAATCTTCCATGATATAAATAGCCGAAAGAATTCATGTCCATCATATCTGCCCTACAGTAAATACTTAAGCAATATAACAGGCTAAAGAAATATATAACCATACCCAACAGGCTACAAAAAGAAAACAAATGAAGCTATAATTATAGAAACACAAGATAGGACTAAGAA